AAAAAAAAAAAAGAAAGAAAATAACTTTAAACATGTACAGAAAAGGAAAAATGAAGAGAATCAAAAACGGTACACAAAATATTGATGAAATACCCCAAAAAGGCAGTAATGGAGCAACTGAAAACCAGAAACAAGCAAGATGTATGGAAAACAAATAGTTAAATGGCAGAAATCAGTCCTTAGCCAGTAATTACTTTAAATGTAAATGGATTAAATTCTCCAATTAAAAGGCAGGAATTGGCAGAATGGATTAAACAACGGAACAAAACATGATCCTGTATATGTGGTCGACAAGAAACTCACTTTAGATACAAAGACACAAAAGCCTCTTAAGTGAAAGGATGAAAAGAGCCCATGCAAATACACCCAGGAGAGCTAGGGTGGGGGCTAGATTATCATTAGACAAAATAGATTTTAAGCCAAAAAAGGTTATATCAAGAAGACATAACAATATACACATCTGTGTACTTAACAGAGCCCCAAAATATATGAAGACAAAATGGACAGACTTCTTGAAGGGAGGCATGGACAGTCCTACAGTAATAACTGGAAACGGTAATAGCTGGAAACATCAACACCTCTCTTTCGATAATGGATAGAACAATAAGGAAATCGACGACTTGAATAACACTAAAGTCAGGCACTGGATCCGACAATGAACAGACAAAAATCCTTGCCTTCAAAAAATGCACAAGATTTTAAAAGGTGCAGAATGTAGTATATCAGGAGAAAAATTCAAACAGGGAAGGGGAGCGCGGATTGTCAGAGGTCGCGGATCTTACCCGGTGGGGTTGGGGAAGACCTCACTACAAAGATGACACTGAGTCGGGAGTAGTTCTCCTGTCCCTCAACTATCAACTATCACACTGCTTCAAGAATGTGTGCGCTAGACAAACCCCCCTTCTAGCTGGTCGCTCCTCGTTGGCCAGGAAGATTCCCAGCTCCCAGCACGGAGCTTCCATGGTGGGGCTGTTGAGTAGACTCCGTGAACCAACGCACACCCAGCGAGCACCAGTCCGGGGGACTAAGGCAGCTTACGTGCCGATATGGAACTGTACTAACATCTCCACCCTCGGTCCTCCACGAGGAGTTAGTTTCCATGTGGTCAGTCCGCCACTTCCGCAGGTGAGGTGAAAAGAAAAAGGAGTGTGTTCTTCCCAACACTGGCCTTGCTAACCCAGAAATGGGGTGCGTCTCCTCATGTCCCTCATTAATAAGGGAAGTCTCTCAGGCTGACTTGCTCTGGGAACTTCAACAATGTGCACCTAACACACAATTTGCACACACAGTAGTCCCCCTCTCCACGGTCCTGCTTTGCGCAGGTTCAGCTATCCGTGGTCAACCGCGGTCTGGAGGCAGGCGATCCCCCTTCTGACGTGCTGCTGGAAGGTCAGCAGCCTAACGCTGTGTCCTCGCCTCCTTCATCGCCCCCCGCAGGCACCTCCCCATCTCTCATCCTCACCAGAAGACGGGTGAGCACACAACAGTAAGACGTGCTGAGCGAGAGACTGCATTCACGTGACTTTTATTACAGCCTGTTGCTATAAGTGTTCAAGTTTAATACGAGTTATTGTCCGTCTCCTACTGTGGCTATGTCATAAATTTACCTTTACTGTAGGCGCAGACGCACAGAAAACACGCAGTACGTACGGGGTTTAGTACTACGCGCAGTTTCGGGCACTGTATCCCCCGTGGATGAGGCAGAAGCCTTTAGGGGTCAAAATTCTAGGTAAAAAATGGCAGTGTTTGCCATGACTCCCAAAAGGTCCCGGGCCTCACACCTACTTGTCCTAACGAGGAGGGCAGCCTCGGGCACATGCCGCCACCTGACCTGCACCAAGCTCATCTCCAGCTGCAGGGCGTCTCGCTCTCTCCGAGCCGTGTCCAGCTCCCCTTCCAGCCGCCGCACGTCCGACTGCACCAGCGTTAGCTGCTGCTGGGCCTCCCGCGCCGCCTGCGCCTCCCTCTGGGTGTTCCCCTGGGAAAGGAAACCAAACTCAAGTGCGCGCCTCCATTCCTGCCTCCTGGTCACGTCCATTCCCCAAGTCATCCTCCCGCGCCCTGAAACCCAAGCCGCTACTCTCCCTCTTCACACCTGACTCTCTGCTCGGCTCTGGGGAATCTCACTCTTTCAGCCTTCGAGGTACTGGCTGGCCCCGGCCACGCACCCTCCACCTTGTCCCCCCAAGACAGGTCTTCACTCTGCAGCCCAGTCCCCCCCCCCACCCCATATTCTGACCTCCCATCTCATTCCGTCATTCTGCCCTTCAGCTGTTGCCCACTCCCTGACGACGGGACGGCCGCTCTCACCTTCTCCTTTTCCAGCTGAGCGTGTACCTCCTCCTGCAGGGCCCCGTAGCGCTCCTGGAGCTCGAGCTCTCGCTGGGCCCAGGCCTGCCGCTCCTCCTCCAGGGCCAGCTTCAGCGCCTCCAGCTGTCGACGCTCACTCAGCTGCCCAGCCCGAGCCTCATCCCGCTCTTCCTGCAGGGCCCGGCCCCGCTGCTGCTCCAGCTCCAAGCTCAGGGTCAGAGCCTGCCTCTCCTCCTCCTGGAGCCCCAGGGAAAACCAGATCCTGAGCAAGCCCTCTAGAGAGCAGCAAGCGGCCCCGTCACCCCTGTACACTGCACCCGCTGAGAATTCTGTCCGCTCAAAAACAAGAGTTGACAAGCCCACAGGACTGTGACACGGTAAACAGGAGCGTCTGTTCCAGAATTCGGTCCATCTGGGCTCAAATCGGTTTGCATCCCAGCTGTCACTCACTATGTGTTCATGTCTAGGGCCTACCTTGTGAGGATTCCAGTAAAAAGCACACAGAAAGCAATCAGCACAGCGTCTAGCACATAGTAAGCACTCAATACGCAATACCAGTCACTATCATCCTCAAAAGAAGCTCCACAAAGACTAGAAAATCCAGCCTCTGATCATGAATCAGCCGACCAGCAACCATGACGGCGCTGTTGGATCAAGCCTGTGAAGGGGTGCCTGGGTGGCTCAGTCGGTTAAGCGGCTGCCTTCGGCTTGGGTCGTGATCCCGGAGTCTTGGGATCGAGCCCCGCATCAGGCTTCTTGCTCGGTGGGGAGCCTGCTTCTCCCTCTGCCTGCCTGCTGCTCCCCCTGCTTTTGCGCTCTCTCTCTCTCTCACGCTCTCTGTGTCAAATAAATAAATAAAATCTTAAAAAAAAAAAAAAAAAGCCAAACACAGAGAAAGGAGCAAGAGAGAAGCACCTGGTCACTTATAGCGCCTACGTAAGACTAACTGCCAATTTCTCATCAGAAGTCATAGAGGCCAGAAGGTAGTGGAATGACATATTTCAAGTGCTGAAAGAAAATCA